GTAGGGAATAGATAGGGAGAGAAAAAGTCAGAAATGGGGAAGGGGGAGGGAATGCATTTTAAAAGAAAAGAAAAAAAAGAAAAACTGGGGGTTTTGCTACAACTGGGACTAAGCCAGCAGACAAGGCAGCCAAGTGAAGCCCCTGAATGTAATTTTTAAGGGGGAAGGTATGTGGCAGAGCACCTTTGGTGTCTGCCACTTTAAGACTGTGAAGAGGTAACCAACAGGTGCAGCCCCAGCTCTCATGAGTGGCCATTTTAAGATTCAGGCCAGCAGAGCTGAGGCAGCAGTGTGCTGCCTGGCACCGAGGAAACAACATCTCCAGATGGACCTGCTGCTCCAGTAACACTAGAGGTAAAGGCAAGAGCTTATGGGGATGGCTAGGAGGCTCTTGGTCCTGGACATGACTTGAAACACTACCCTGCCAGGGAAGGGTGGCCTGGTGGGGCTCCTAGTGGTGAGAGAGCACCAGGAAATGCCAGGCCAGTTACCTCCCCAGTGAAAGACGAGGAGGTGTGCCTTAACTGCAGCCCCCACCTTCAGGTGGGTTTATTTAACACTAGAAGCAGTAGCGGGCCAGGCATGTCTAGGTGACTGGCACCTGAGCCCGGTGGGTGCAAGGCCCCGGAGAGTGGGTACTGGTGCCAGGCATGGCTGTGGTCACCTGAGCCGATGTGGAATGCAGGACACCGGAGAGTGAGAGTTGTGGGCCAGGCATGCCCAGGGTGTCACATGAGCTTTTTGGGGCATAAGGCCCGGAGAATGGGTGGTGGGGCCAGACAGGGTGTAGGACCCTGGCGAGTGAGGTGAAGTCCTGAGAGCAAGGGGATGAGTGTGAGTTCCAGGTAAGCCTTTGGGTGCCTGAGGCCAAAGGTGGGCCAGAGGCTGAGAGGAGGCCCTGAGAGTGAGGGGCATTAGTAGGGGCCTGAGGAAGGGGCATTATGTTCTGGTGTGGAGCCAGGGCTAAAGTAGGCCCACAGTTGAGCAATCGCTCAGTCAACACACAGTGAGGTAGCGGGAGATGCCCGGCTGACTGAAGAGTGAAGACCTAAGCCCAAGGATCTCACAGAGTAGGGCGGGATGAGTGGGGCAGTATGCAAGGGACCAGGTGAGAGCTGCTGGAGTGTAAGAGGCCCCGGTGAGAGAGAGGTGGTATGAATGTGGCTTGTAACACAGCAGTGCGAGAGAGAGACAGCTGTGTTCCTTGAGCCGGCAACTGAACAGCAAGTTATCTGCGAGGCTTGGGATGCAGTACAGGGGTGGTTGGAGCTGCATACCTAGGCCCAGGAGAACTGGGCATACAAAGGGCAGCCTCCTGCTTAATTAAGACCCTAATTATTTAACAACAAGGCATGGCAGGCGATAGAGGAGGGTGGCGTGCCCAGAGGCAGGTGGGAGACTAGCACTGTGGCTGGTCAGGGAGTTCCCATGTTGCCACAGTCTTATGGGGTATTCTTGAGGATTAAATAGTAAAATATTGAGGCCTTCAATAGAAGCTGCTGTTGAGGTGTTATGCAGTACTAAATGCTTTGACTATAGTCCTCTGAATCTTTGGAGGAGTACATTCAACAAATTAATATGGCAGTCTTTGAAACTATTCATTCCAAAAGCAGATTTTCCAGATTCTTAGAGGTTTATACTTTAGCTGTTAGAAAAAACAATGCAGTTTAGATTTCTTTTAGTTTTGGTTGTGCACGGTTAGAAAAATGACTTTTATTTGTATTCTTGCCTAGTAAATATGACTCTCTCAATTCAAGAAATTTAGGTGAAGATTGACAAACCATTTCTTGCTTCTGGTAACCTCATAAATCATTCTACCTGTGACCTTGTGGTGACCAGGATAACCTCAGAATCCCTTGATGTCTGTAGACTTGCATCTCAAAATTAACTAAATAGTCTTTACTATCTTTGTG